TATATATATATATATTTGACTTTGTTAATAAGAACATGTGGGCAGTCAATTTCAGCTTTAAATAATGTAAATCTGAATATGTTTAACAATACCTATATTTTATTTTGTTTCTTATTCTGTAACCATTAACCCTTTGTTAACCCTGTTTGTTCTACATTAGATTTATTAGGCCAATTTCAATGAGATTCAACCATCTGTGGCTTTGACACTGCACAGATCTCTAGAAGTTTGTTTTAAACAAAATAAATAAATAACCCTGAACCCCACTGAGGTGTGAAACTTGACCAGAACTTCGAGGACGTTCAGTGCCAGACATGCAGCACATTTCAATTGCCTTTAAAGGCCTTAAGCGTTCTCTCTCTATATATAAGATAAAACTTGTAAACTTGATCAAGCATCTATAAAAAGTCATATGACTTGACGTATTATATTTGGGATGGATGTCACAAGAATAAAAATTAGGATTAGAATAAAGCGGAATATGCTTCAGTTTGTGTTGGGATGTTCCCAGTGCAGTGAGCTGCTGACCTGCCACGGCCGGTCCCAGTCCAGAGGGATCGGGAATGCTCCCACCCAGGCTCCTATCAGGGTGCAGGCCACTGTGATCTGCAGGCAGGTGTCCCACACAGACATGGCTCTGAGGACAGAGGAGGAAAGGGAATATATTAATGTACATGCATGCAGTAGAACGACAGAGAGAGGACGAAAAATGAATTTACCCGTGTCGGCTGAACACTCGTATCCAGGCCTGAACGTTGGGACCGAGAACACAGAGGCACCTCAGAGTGGTGAGGGAAGTTAAGAAAACCGCCAGGGAAAATGTCTCCAAAGCAGATCTGAAATTCATCAGACGCAAAACAACTGATACTGATTGAGAGAAACTTCAAATATAACTAAAAAAAAAAAGCAAACACAAACCTTTAAACCACATTGATAAATAGTTGTATACTCACTCTATCAGCGGCGCTCCATAGAGAACAACCACCGTGTGGAAGAAGAGGCATGACAGGAAGAAGTACAGACACGAACGAAACAGCTTTGACAGCTGAGGAAAGAAAGAAAGAAAGACTTATAATACATATAAAGTATTTACATACTGTATAAGAAATATTAAGGGATCAAAATCAGTAAAACAGGACACATTAAGGCCTTTAAGATTCAAACATAAAGTTTAGGTTGGGTTTAAAATGTCATCGTTATTAGAATGCATCATGATTTAATGAGGAGTTAAAGATGGAAAAGACACCAATAAACTGCTGAAAAAAGTGTTTTACTTTAGTTTGATTTTGTAAAAGAAATATTAGTTTGTTCTCATTTGCAGAAACCTTATTACAGAAGAGCTTGCAGCATTTACTTTTATTTCAAATATCTAAACAGTTCACTGCGCTAATGGAAATGTAATGACAAAAACAAAAATAGGACTTCTTTTGGTAAATCTGTTTGCAATCGGTGCTAAGATCTACCAATATATGAGCGTTTAAACTTTTTTATTTTATTTCTCCACAGCAACTAAACAATTATTTAATTCATGAGATAATCAACAAAACGGAAACACCAGAATTAAAAAAAATAAAGAAAATATAAAGGATTCATTGATATCTCAATATTTACCTCAGCTCTTGTGACCTAATGTTATCTTGTGACTCATTAAGTTGAATAAAAGTAGGGGTGCAATGATTTATCGGCCCCGATTTCCTTAATTTTGGGAAATCGGAGATCGGCCGATACTTACATGAGAAACCAATTTTACAGATTTTTTTTTTTTTTGTAGTTTTAACAACAATTGTCTAAACTTCATTTATATTTCAGAGCACTGCCTCATGGCCAGTTAAAACCAGTTTGTATTGTTTCTAGGATATTGTTCAAGGGTATGTTTTTCATTAAAATAATATTGGAAAATTGAAGGTGCATTGTGACCTTATAACACCTGACAGTGTTATTTATATAATAAAACCAAATCAGAATCGGCAGGTCAGGCTTTTTAGAAATCGGTGATCGGGCAGAAAACTGCAATCAGTGCACCTCTATAAAAGAGATCACTTCTTTAACCCTTAGATTAAATAACTGAACTTAGACTTAGTGGTTTAAACTAATAAGTAAAAGTATGCGAAGATAAAGTTTGTTTGAATATTTAAATATAGAAAAAGAAAGAACTTCATTTGTCCTCGTACAATGAAATTACGTTTGACATCTCTCCATGTCAACACCTTGAAGTACAATAGACTACAGTAAAAAAAAAAGATGCATAAAAATAGAAAAACAAGATAAATAAGAGTAAAGTGGCTACGGTCTTGAAATATATAGATATAATGGAATTCAATCGATGACACAAATACAAAAAATAAGCAATA